GACCAAAAAAAAAAAAAAAGAGGGGTCTTTTCAGTCGCAGGCAACCCCCTTAGATATTGATCATTCAGAAATAGTCAGAGATTCTACGGCTAAAAAAAGGACTAGAAAAAGAAAAAAAGGAGAGGACGCAGAACCGAGGATGGCATGAGAGTTGGTTCACATCCCTCTGGCTAACTTCTTTGTTTTCAGTCTGTGCCGGATCTCTAATTTTAGGTTTAATTTCACTTGTAATAGGATCTTATATAATTAATAAGTTGATTGCTTTTATTAGGCAAGAAACAAGTTCTGTACAATTAATGATACTGAGACAACAATATTAGCCTCCTCCTGAAGACGAAGAAATCTCAAGTGTCCAGGAAGAATTATAATGTCCCCTTTCTGTCTAATCCTCTTTCTTTCTCTTTCTAAGGGCCAAACGTGCATTTAGTCCAAGCACTCTGAAGGTAGACAAGTTCTTCAGGACCATCAGGAAAAAAAAAAAAAAATGGATCCCACCAGTGGCCCTGAAATGGCTCTCAATTCTGTATCCTCAAAAATCTTGTCTTTATCGTGCCACCAAAGTTTGGTAATGGTCAGGGGAGAATAAATGGGTCAATCAGAATAAGAGACATAGCTTTTGTTATAGGATATTGTATACAATATAGCTTAAAATTCAATCTGGTAAAAGATCTGAGACCAAATTGGGTAATGGAGAGCCTCTGGCGTAGTTAATTCCCAATAGGTAGAGCTATAAAATTTCTGCCGTTACCCTACTTTCCCTCAACCCTATCCCATAGTTTATCCCTATTGGATCTATTGGGTTGCAGTTTTCCTCAAGTTACTAAAACTGACTCCCTTAAATTAAAAAAAATAAATAAACAAAAAACAGAGATTATATAAGACACAGTTGTGGGACCTATGGCCTAAATACCTAAAAGAAGCTGAAAGACACTGGTAAAAAGGCTGCCTGTCTAATAGATATGTTCCTCTTACCTCCCCTAGACCTCTCCAAGAATTAACAACAAAAAGAGCTCCTACAGGATGCCAGGTCCAAAGTAAAAGAAGAACTCGTGGCACATCAAAGCTACCACGAGCACAAATGATACAAGACCCAACCCTGATCTCGAGGACCTAAAAGACCCTTGCCCCATTTTTTTAGGTTCCATGTCTCCCCCTTTCAGCAGGAAGTAGCTTAATGAGGACAACACCCAAATTCCCATGATTGGGTCCCTAAGTCTCTTGAGAAGGGGGGAATGTAACGATCAAGTTTTCAGGTGAAGGTGGGTTCCCTCTGTGCCCCTTGCCCAGAACAGAGCCACAAAAATTCCATTCTGTATAATTACATTCTGTATGACAGTCTCCCTGTGTTTCTGTTCCTCTTTTTAGGCAGCTCTGTTTTAGGCCTCCACCCTGTGTTTCTGTTCCTCTTTCTATGATCTAAAGATGAATTCTCACTGCTTAAGATAATCAATGTTCTTTAAAAGGAGGAATTGATTTAGCCAACATAGGTACTAGTCACAGCTTACAGCTTACATGGGTAGCCACTGCTAACATAGGCATTAGTCACTGCTTGCATATGTAGTCTTTGTTAATTATAGAATTTGTTTAATCAGATGTTCTTTAAAAAGAGGAATTGATTCTGTGTAC